ATCCTTCTGCCTCAGCCTTCCAAGTAGCTGGAACTACAGGCGCGCGCTACCACGCCCGGCGAATTTTTTGATTTATTGTAGAGATGAGGGCTCGCCAAGTTGCCCAGGCGGGCCTCTATCCCGTGGGCTCAGGCAATTTCCCTGTGTATTTCTATGTGAATGTGTGTTGACTTAAGTGACACCATCCTACACAACCTGTTTCACGAGCTACTTTCCACTTAGTGATGTGTGGAAATCACACTGTACATGAAGGCATGTTCAAGACCACATATCTCCAAATCATTTGTCATAGCTGAATAATATTTGCTTCAGTGGGTGACACATAGTATGCTTAAATACCACTGTTAGGCATTTAGATTATTACAGAATGCTCAACATCATACCCGACTCTGATGTGACTCCTGCTTGTATATATTTTGTCCGGTGTGTGCAGCGTCTTTCTCAGACTGGTTTGCCGTGAGGGGAACTGCTGGATCAACTGGCTTGCCCTTACAGCTTTTGATACGTACAGAGATTTGTCCTGCATGAAAGATGCCCTGTTTACCTCCCCCAGCAACAGCACATGAGTGTCGTCCAGGAATCCCCTCCCAGAGGCGTCTATCTCACATCCTCTAAGGATGCTCATATCTGCAGCGAGGGTCTTCCCAGCTCCGTGGAGTGAAGGGACATTCTGCCTTGCTCTCTGTGGAGGACCAGACAAGGAATGGGGATAGTAGGTCTGGGAGGGACCTGGGTCCCAGGATACGTAGTCAGTGCAGTAGTCATGGGGTGCCTGGGCCCTGTCTTTATTGAAGAAGGGAGAGTGATGGGGCTTGTCTGGAAGACTTGGGTGCACAGGTCTGTGCCTGAGTGTGGGGGTGAGGGGAGGGGAGCGGCTAGTAAGAGCAAGGTTGGGCCGGGCTCGGTGGCTCAGCCTGTAATCCCAGCGCTTTGGGAGGCCAAGGTGAGTGAATTGCCTGAGCCCGCGGGTTCGAGACCCCCCTGGGCAACTTGGTGGGCAACTCATCTCCACAATAAATTTAAAAAAATGAGCCGGGTGTGGTAGCACGCGCCTGTATTTCCAGCTACTTGGGAGGCTGAGGCGGAAGGATCGCCGGAGCCCAGCAGGTCGAGGCTGCGGTGGCCGGGAGCGGCCACTGCACTCCAGTCTGGGTGACGGAGTGAGACTCCAACTCAAAAAAAAAAAAAAAAGAGCAAGGCTGACCTGGACGTGCCAGGCCCTGAAGGAGACACAGGGCTTAGCTCAGCGGGAGTAGGGAGGGCATTCCAGGTGGGGGATCAGCATAAGCCCTTTGGCATTTCCTTGGCAGGGCCACCTTCCAGGGCCACCTTCCAGAGGCTCTGAGGCACACAGTGTTGACACTGGGGAGAAAGCAGCTGTCAGGGGACTGGTGAGCTTGACCCAGTCATAGAAGCAACAGGGAACCCTCAGGCACCTACTGAGAATCCAGGGCCCATGTGGCCAAGTGGAATTATGTGGAACTGGGGAGGTCCCAAGTGATCATGGCCAGACCAAGGCTCCGGGAGGGAGCAGCTAGCTCTCCAGCTGGGACACAGACTCATCCCATTCAAGGCTCTTCATCCCAAAGAGCTGCCTCTCTCTGTGTCCTATGGAAAGACTTGACTTTGGCAGAGATCTTCCTGAGTCGTTGAGATTTATTGTCCCATCAAAAAAGAAATTTGACTTGTGAAACGCTGCCAGGTCTGAGGGAAAGGAGAAATGCAAAAGCACCAGACCTGGTCGCTGTCTGGGAGGCGGAATAGTAAACCCTGTGGCTTCTGACTCGGATCCATCTTGACTCTGGGAGTGGCTTATTTGGTTCTCACTTGGCAGGAAACTAGGCAACATGGCCATTGGGCTTGTCAAGGGGGACTGCTGAGTCTCTGGGTTGGTACCAGGCCTGGGATGGAGTCCACTCCCAGCGCTGTGGATGAGCAGCTTGCCACATTCATGTTTGGTCCCTGAGGCCTTGAAAACGAGGATGTCTTTCATGTGCCCAGACAAAATGAGTGACGCCATCAAGTGTGACCTAGCAAGGTTCGAAGCAGCCTAAAGACCAAGTAGTAGGAGGACATCCTCCTCTGACAGGGTTCATGGGCACAACCAGTCCTGTGGACAAACCCGAGAGGTCATACTTGCTAATGGGGGCACTCTAAAGCCACTAGGATGGGGACAGTTGGGCTCATGCGGTCTTAGAATCACCTGCAGAATGAGCACCACTCAACAGAACTATGACGTGGCAGCCTTGGTACAGTGCTGGACACGTGGAGCCCCGTTCACAGTGATGAGGTGCCATTCCTGGCATGCAGCGGGCCTGGGCCGCCTGGGCTGCTCGTTCAGTACAGTTTATGGAAGACCCAGCCCTTGCTGACGTGGTGAATTTGGTTTGCTTTCACCCCTGGCCCTGCCCATTTTACTGTGCCCCGACCTCCACGGAAACACGTCCGGGCCCTGCCAGTAGGCAGCAGTGCCAAGCTGGTCAGAGTCTAGCCTAGGGAATGGTGGGCCCTGGAGAGGGAGGCTGCCGCAGTGGGAATGGGCACTGCTTCGTGTCATGCCCACATGCCTGAGCTCCCTGGCCCTGTCTTGAGGCCCGAGGGCTTGGCTGTAGCCACTCATGGCAGTGACCAGACCAGACCCACAGCCTGGGTCTTCCGTTTCCCTGCAGCTCTGGGATGCTCACAGCATGGAGAGCTGGCTTCCTTGGCCCAGCCCCGCCTCTGGGCCGATGGTCTTCAGAGACCACCACAGCTTAGCCCTCCTGCAAGCCGGAGGGGAGAGGAAGGGGGAGGGCAGGGCCAGAAGACAGAGGGAAAGAGAAAAGGCAGAACATGAGGCACGTGTAGACCAGAAACCACCCTCGCCTGGTCCCCAAGGGCTGCTAGGAGCTGGCACTAGGACCCTAAGTGGGCCCAATCCCAGAACGAGATGGGGCTGCACACCCCAGACCACTCTTGTGCTGACTGGCGACCACCGACTGCCTTTCTCCCAGCAGAGACTGGCTGAGAGTCACTGCTCCTTGGCTCCTGGCCAGGTGGTGCCAGGCACTTGCAGGAACATTGGTGCATTGTCCTTACAGCAATCGTGAAAGGTAGACGTTTTTCACTACCATCTTACACATGAGAAAACTGAGGCAGCCCAGAGAGTTTAGTCGACCTGCCCAAGGCCTGTCAGGCAACTACTAAGGGGTGAAAATGGTCTGACCACAAAGCTGCTGATCCCCCACCCCACCCCTTCCCCAGGCCACCAGCCTGCCCTGAAGGTGGCACTGCAGAGGCTCCCTGGCTGCCAGCTCTGTCTCCACAGTCTCTGCTTGCAGCCTGGTTGCTAGTGCTCTGTAAGAGGGTTCATGTTCTGTCCTTATCAGAAATCACCCTGGCCGGGCTCGGTGGCTCAGCCTGTAATCCCGCGATTTGGGAGGCCGAGGTGAGTGGATTGCTTGAGCCCGCGGGTTCAAGAACTGCCTGGGCAACTTGGCAAGACCTCATCTCTACAATAAATCCAAAAATCAGCCGGGCAGGGTAGCGCGTGCCTGTAGTTCCAGCTACTCGGAAGGCTGAGGTGGAAGGATCGACGGAGCCCAGCAGGTCGAGGCTGCGGTGGCCGGGAGCGGCCACTGCACTCCAGTCTGGGTGACAGAGTGAGACTCCAACTCAAAAAATAAAATAAAATAAAATCACCCTGAACAGATAGTCCCTGGAAGCCTCCGAATTCCACATTCTCCAGGGCTGCCACTCTGGGTAGACAGGTGACTCTGTCCCCAGGCAGTGGCTTTGCTCCCTGGCCTCTGTCCATAGCCAGACTGCTACCACCTCTTGCCACTCCCACGCCCAAGGCAAAGTCCAGATGAGCTTGGTGTGCCAGGGAGCACATGGTGGCCCCCTAGCTGTTACAAATGGGTGAAGTGACCAACAAGTGCTTGCCATTGTCTCCAGCAGCCCTGTGGAATCCTCTGAGAAGCCACCTGCAAACCAGTCACCATGAGTATCTCAGCTCTGGGAGACGGCACCAAAGGTGAGACCCAGACTCCACTTGGGAGCTGCCTCCTTCCAGGCCTGCGCCCACCCCCAAGCGCCACAAGCACCGGGAGCAACAAAGGGAGAGCCTCATTGGGAGGGTGGGGTGTGGTGGAGGGTGCTGGGGTCCCCTTCTGAGGAGGTTTGGCCCGACTCTCGACAGGGAAGCCTCTGCCACCAGGTGAGGAAGAACGTAATAACGTCCTCAAGCAAATGAAAGTGCGAACCACGCTGAAAGGGGACAAGAGCTGGATCACCAAGCAGGATGAGTCGGAGGGCCGCTCCATGTAGGTCCACAAGGCCCAAGGGCCACTGCCATGGGCGGAGGGGAGGGCGCAGCATGGGACAGGCACCAGCAAGGTCGGAGCGGGAATATGACCACAGGCCGCGAAAGCAGGAGGAGACGAGGCCACCCTGCTTTCCTTTCTCTTTTCCCAGAGAGCTGCCCAAGGGCCGCAGTCGTGCCATATCCTTTTCATCAGCTGGGGAGGTCCCAAAGGCCAGGTAAGACATGGAACTCAGGTGGCCGGTAGGTGGGCCCCAGGGACTGCCCTGAAACATAGGGCCAGCCCTGCAGCAGGGAGAGGTGGGCAGTCCACAGGGGGCATGAGAGGTCTGCAGTGAGTCATTTGAAAGTCTCTGAAAAGGCCGGGTGTGGTGGCGCATGCCTGTATTCCCCGCCTTGGGAGGCAGGAGGACAGCTTGGGCAACATAGTGAGACTCTGTCTCGACAAAAAATAAATAATTAAAAGAAAAATAAGCATATGAAACCCACAGGAAGGATGGACTTTCTCGCTCTGTTTCCCTCTTGGAAAAGGGAGTGTAGGCATCACTGGGTCTAGGCCCTGGCCTTGCTGTGATCCTGGGGCTTCCGACTCCGACTCCCCTGCTGGGTCTCCGTGGCTCCAGCTATTCATTGGGATGGAAATTGTCATGAAAAAGAAGGCTGTTCTTCTCAACCCCTTCTCTCCACTGCAAGGAATGAGACCATCTCTAAGGTGCTGGGGGTTATGGGCAGCTCCTAGAGTCACAGTGACTCACTCCTGCAGGTGGTCCTGGTTGATGAGTGTACTTGGGAATCAGCGTGCCAGGGGAGAGTGACAAGTTGGCTCCAGCTGTCTCCCAAGTTCACGACGATATGTTTTGGCAGCTGCCCAAGGGGACTGGCCTGTCTATTCTGAGGATTTTTTTCACATCAGTGTCCAGGGGTCTTTGAGGCATGAACACACTCTGCTGGCATCTGAAGGAACTGCTTCTGAAAGATGGGAGCTGAGAATTCAGGCAGTCTCCAAACAGCTGGCGGGTAACTTCTCAGGTAGTGGCAGAGGCAGCGGTAGCCGCTAGAAGGGAGGTCCTGTCATCCCTCAATGACTGTGCCCACTCTCTGCCAGGTCCAGTGCTGGCACAGAGGATACAGGAGTGGACACTGTCCTCAGGGAACTGACTTCCCAGCAGGGGACACAGGCACGACCCAAACAAAGAGCCCAAGACAAAAGATGGGCCACTCCAAGAGTGCTTGCAACTTGTTCATCTCTGAGAGGCTGTCGCCTGTGAAGGACTTTATGTGGGGGTGGAGACTGCTGGGGCCCCGTGTTGCCCTTAGACCGAACCCCACTGCTCCAGACCAAAGGTCCCTATTGGTGAACCGAGGGGCAGTTTGCTCTGAGTCCTTGGCCCCTGACCCAGTATAAGGAAGATTTTTTGAGTCGGAGTCTCACTCTGTCGCCCAGACTGGAGTGCAGTGGCCGCTCCCGGCCACCGCAGCCTCGACCTGCTGGGCTCCGGCGATCCTTCCGCCTCAGCCTTCCGAGTAGCCGGAATTACAGGCATGCGCTACCACGCCCGGCTGATTTTTTGATTTATTGTGGAGATGAGGTCTCGCCAAGTTGCCAGGGTGGGCCTTGAACTTGCGGACTCAGGCAGTCCACTTACCTTGGCCTCCCAAAGTGCTGAGATTACAGGCTGAACCACCGAGCCTGGCCTGGTCTCAGACTTCTAGCAAGACTTATGATATGGACATCCAAGGAGCCAGAGAAAGGAAGACCCTGGGGAGTGGGATGGGAAGGGGAACCTGACCTTGGCTGGCGGGTGTCTGACTCACCCCTCAAGCCATCATGTGCCTATCTGGATGAGGCTGGGATGCAGGAGTCAGGTCAGGCCCAGGTTGTTGGGGGAAAACTTCAGGGGAGCACCAAGCCTGGTCGGCCAGGGAGAAGCCTGACTTTGGAGGGGTCATTCACGTACCTTCCTGGGCACCTGCTGTGAGGAAAAGGCCTTGGGCACTTTTCCTGTAGGGCCATGAAGGAAACAGGCAGAGCCAAGCAGGCGCCTGGCTAGGAGTACAGGGTGGCTGGCTCCCCTCATTTCTGCCACACTTGGACACCTGCCAACCAATCCCTTTTGCTGTGGTTGAGGCAAGAAAAAGTGGGGGCGGCCTCAGCCCTCCAGCACAGCTTCTCTTGACACCATCCCTCCTTCCCTTGGCAGGCCTTCAGGCACGAGAGCGCCCACTGGCTACATCATCCGGTAAGTGACCGAAGGACCCTGCCTACTGCCCTCTTTCCCCTCCAGCCCCTCCTGAGAGGCTCACCAGCATTTTCTGGGCTCTCTTTCAGGGGGGTGTTCACCAAGCCCATAGACAGCTCATCCCAGCCCCAGCAACCCTTCCCCAAGGCCAACGGAGCTCCAAAAAGGTGTGTCCACAGGGCGTTAGCCAGGCGGCTGCTGGGGAGATGTGAGGGCTTGGTCTGGGATCACAGCAGAGAGAGTGGCAACTCTCTGTGTAGGGCAGAATGCTGGAGAAGTGTGAGGTGGCCCGAGGAGATGGGTTGGGTGGGGGTGGCAACCCCAGGTGGATGTATGGACCTCTGGGAGGCCCTGGGCCACTAATAGTCCCCATGCCTTGGGGTCAGTCCTTGAATGGCACTGGCCAGTAGGACAAGAGGTGCAGGAGACTTGGATGGCATTAAGCGAACTGAGTTGGCATACTCGGTCAAGCACCCTGGAGTCAGGCCGAACCCAGGGCTCCATCGGACAGGGAAGGCCAAGGAGACTGGGAGACGGGAAGCACAGTTCTGGGTGTGTGGCAGGGCGGGATGCCATGGGGAAAGGTTCCCCACAGCTCCTGGTCCCCCGTCACACGACTGCTGGATGGTGTGCGCAACTCTGGAGGAGGGCACATGGACACTTCTCGCCTGTCTAGTGCTGCCGGGCTCGTGAGAACAGCTAGCACTGGTCCTCCCCGGTCCTCCTTCTCTGGCTACAAGATGACCACTGAGGATTATAAGAAACTGTAAGTATGCAATGCTAGGCCCTGCCCGATTCTCCCCTCAAGAAGGGATCCGAAACTCTGGGCCCACTGAAGGCAACTGGCTCCTTGCACCCAGCGCGGCCCAGGGAGAGCTGGTCTTGCCAGCCTGACACCCCCTGCCAGTTGCGGTGACAATTCCAGGAAATTGGATGGCCCTCCACTTTGCCCTTCTGATCTGAGGCAGAGCTGGAACTGCAGGAAGCTTGTAGAAGGGTCCCCCTGTGGATCTGGAGAATGGGTTGTGGGTCGCGGCCTTGGGGCCGCTGCTGGCTGGCTGTGTTTCCTGGGGGTGCCCCTGTATCCCACTGGGCCCTGGGGACACTCAGGATGCTGCTGTCGGTTATGGGCATTTGGTGCCTTCATCAGAGCTGCTTCTTGGATAGAAACCTTGGAGAGGCCCCCGGGGAAGGGGGTTCTGGACAGAGGTGAGAGTTGTGCCTATAGTTCCCAGGGGCCCCACATTTTTCTATTGTTTATCCCTTGTTCCCATCATCCAGTGACATGGAGCAGCTGGGAAGTCTCTCTGGGATGGGGAGAGGCTTGAGCTGGATCTTGAGGGACAGCAAAGGCCTAAAGGCAGCGACAGCAGCATGCAGTGTCATGGTTGGAAGTCGGTAAGCCAAGCTACCATCTCTCTTCCCCCAGGGCACCCTACAACATCAGGTGCAGCTCGACATCAGGGGACACGGAGGAAGAGGAGGTGTCCTTCTCTTTGGATGAGCAGAAACGTAGGTAAGGTGACCTCTGCATATCCCAGGAGGCAGGGCAGGGGCCTGAGTCTTCGCACACCATGCAGGCCACCAGCGGTGCTGTGGAACAACCTGTGGAGTGACAGATGTAATTCCGAGAGTCCCAGAACCACCCGCTCAGTGCTGGGCCAGCTAAGGAGGCCTCTTAAGAACCTTCTATGGGGGAGCCCAGGTGATGCAGGCTAGAGAGAAGCTTCGTGTTGGCTCTTCAGGGCTGGATACCAGTCCATGAGGAAGGGTCCCGAGAAAACTGGACACAGATGTGCAGAGTTGGGTGCGTGTCTGGGGGGCATGAGTGCATTCCACATTTCCGAAGGCACCTTGCCCCAAACTGAGACCCGAGTGTGGGCAGCAGTGGGGGTGTGCCCCATGCCACTGAGATTCCCCCCGAGTTTTGCGCCAAACTGCCTTCCATCCACACAGGCAAGCCAAGTTCCCTGGACCCTAAGGGATGAAAGGCCCGCCAGTCACCCCTTCCCCCTTCCCCACTCTCTGCCCAAGGGGAGTGACCTCACACCACCCAATGCCAGTGAGCTGTGACAGAGAGGGATTGCTGAGTGCCTTTGGTATGCCTTTGGCTTGGGTCCTGGGTGGCAGCTAGGCCCTGAGGAAATAAAGCCCGCCCCTCCCTGGGCTCAGCCTTACTTACCCCAGTCCCACATCTGTTGACTTATCTGCTATGTGAGTGCTCTCGGGCACATCACAAGAGCTCCTTGGCTCAGTTTCCTCACCTGTAAATCACAGAGGATACTGGCGCCTACTTAACTGGGTGGAGTCAATCAGTGAGCCAACGGGCATGTCGGCATATGGGGCAGGGCCGGTACCCCCTGCACATTCGATGAATGTGGCTGCCCTTCCCTTTGAATAGTCCCTGGAGGAGGTGCAAATCTGCTTTCTCCCCTCACCTCCCTGGGGTGGCCCTGTGTCATCCAAGTCTATCCCAGGCTAGGCTGGTGGAGCGTGTCCAGCTTGGCACCCATCAAGTGCTCCCCCACCTGTGCCACCCCAGGTCAGAGGCTGCTAGCAGCCTGCTGAGGAAGACAGCTCCCCGGGAGCACTCCTACGTCTTGTCGGCGGCCAAGAAGAGCACTGGGTGAGTGGTGCCACGTGGCTGTGGCCTTGGGGTTCCAGTCTTCCTCTGGCAGATGAAAGAGTGGGTAGAGACATCACCTCGAGGGCTTTTCTCACTAGACCTGCTCAGATTCTCAGACACATTTCCTAGAAAACGGAGGAGTCTGACTGCTCCTCATAGGGCTGGCCGAGTGCTGGAGATGGGAGAGAGGCCCAGGACCCTCTGGGGCAGCATGGTCGGTCATGATGTCACCTGTCCACGGGCTCCGCCCAGCATGTCACCTTTTTGCTTCTTTTGCAGCAGCCCTACCCAGGAGACGCAGGCGCCATTTATTGCAAAAAGGCAAGTGTCACGGAAGGAAGCCTTGGAAGCCTGTTGCTGGCCACCGGAAGGCCTCCTGTTGGCAGGGGAGGAGTGTGGCCTCTAGGGAGAGGGGACATGTTGGTGGGGATTCTGCTGTTACTGCACAGGGGGAGTTGGGAGGGGCTGGTGGCTTCTGTCTAGAAGCCAGGTGAATACCTGAATGACTGTGGTAGCACACGTGGCTGTGTTCTTCCATTTGCCAATGACAAATCCAGCGTGACCTGACCCAAGATGGAGCTGTAGTGTGTCCAAGGCCCTCTGGGCTTTTTTTTTTTTTTTTT